TTGCTACTGTAGCCCATCTGCCTCAAGGTTTGTTGTGCGTTCAGAGATGCTCTTCTGCATACCTTGGGTTGTAACGAGTGGTTATTTGAGTTACTGTTGCCTTTCTATCAGCTCAAACCAGTATGGCCATTCTCCTCTGACCTCCGGCATCAACAAGGCATTTACACTCACAGAACTTACTGAAAAATCTTACTGAATATTTCCTGTTTTTCGGACCATTATCTGTTAACCCTAGAGAGGGTTGTGCGTGAAAATCCCAGTAGATCAGCAATTTCTGAAATATTTAGACCAGCCCGTCTGGCACCAACAACCATGCCATGTTTAAAGTCACTTAAATCACCTTTCATCCCCTTTTATGATGCTCGGTTTGAACTGCAGCAGATCGTCTTGTCCATGTCTACATGCCTAAATGCATTGAGTTGCTCCCATGTGCCATGCGTAGCAACTAAATATACAGTAAAAACATTTTCTGCACTGATAAATGATAATATTTACAGTATTTATCAATACAATACTGTAGTACCTAAAAGAACCATGGTGCTTACTGATGTGAGACTTTTCTTTGCTAAAGGCAATGCAGCAGATACAGATAGCATCATGCATATGAATCTCCACTGGAGAGCAATATGTGAGAGATGATCTCAGTCTGTGGACAGTAAGGGTGACTTCCGAAGCCTCATGCTTCTTTCTGTGCACAAATTCATCTTCCATTATCTCTTGGTCCTTTGTTTTCCTGCCTCTTAGAACTGATTTATTCTGCCATTTTGGGTCAGAGTGGACACTCATTCGATCATCTGAGCTCTAAAAGTAATCCTCTGTCCTCCCTCCATTGGCCACCATTACAAGAAATTGATGGTCATTTTTGAGGCAGTGACTGGCAAGCTTTCACAAGCACTTTAAAAGTGGAGTTTGAGGGTGTAGGCGTTTTTAAAACAACTTTTTTGTCCTGAAACTCAATTACCCGAATGGTGCAATGCGAGTAAAGAGCATTCTTTTGGAGGAGTGCCCCCCAGCTCCTTGACATGAAATATTTAGCAGGTCTAGACTGAGGAATAGCCCTTCAAGACACTGGTTTTGAGATGCAAACAGAAGTGAGCTGCACTTAAATAAAATGGAAATAATGATCACCAGGACAGGACAGATCGAACTGAAAACCTGAACTAGCATGTTCGTCCTTCTGACTAATTCTGGTTAATCACTGTCACATCAGTGAAGCAGACATTAGTAGTTCAGAGGAAACCTCACTACACGGCGATCGATTGCAATTAAAGAGCAAGGTATCAGGACCACAGAACATTCATCCTTTGGAACAACCTTAATTCACTGGGCTCAATTGTTTGAGTCTGAATCCTGATTTAGGAGAACTCTGGCCATGATAACACAGCTGTAATATGGATGACAGTGATTACGTTTACATGGAAATCAGTAATCAAGTTATTTGCTTTATTATGAATAAGACAATAATATGATTGAGGTGTTATTGAATGTTCCTTTCATGATTCCTGAATGTTTCATTCAGGAACATTTCATGCATGCCCACCCTTAACTAACTGTGGTATTGGATTTGGGTATGAAGTAAGGACTGGTGGAGGAATATTGTTTTAATAGAATAATACTGCACACCAAATAAAAAAAAATAAAATAAAAAATAAATAAATAAAAAACCTTGGCATTTCACGACGCAGGTGTCTGTGGTCTTCACTGACTTGGTAGGTGCAGAGAATAGTGTCAAACAGCCGTGTAAGAGTATGGAATATCCTGTCACAAAATGCAGTGAAAATCCAACACGACGATAAATATATATAAAATCCTACATGACGATAATAGTTAGACTGCGTTGTTTACATGTCTGCATTTTAACATTGCAATTAAAATAGGCATGATCCACATGTATTAATGCATTTTTTTTGTTTTGTTTGATTATGACTCATCATTTTGTTTATGTTATGACTGAATGAAGATAATAATAATAATAAAAAAACGCTGTTTACTTGGTGACTTTTATCAGAGTATTGTCATAATCGGATTAAAATCAGATTATTGGTATTCATGTAAATGTACTCACTATGATATGTAATATGGATGCGATATACAAAATATATACAGCTAAAATCAAAGTACCGATATGAAATACTGTAATTTCATGAATTCATGAACGTAATAAACATGAATGTGGGGTATAAAGGCCAAGACTAAACCCAACTGTGCTGTCACCTTGCATTGGCTCATGACTGTTTCCATCTGGACCAAAAAGCTGCCCCTAAAAACACCAAGTGGATGGCAGACAACTGAAATGAGCATTCTGCACCTGCGTGGGAGGTTGGTCACTTCACTACATCACACTTGTGCTCTGATTCATTGCTGAAAAACCAGCCAGAGCATTCTCGTCAGCTGAAGACTGTAACGTCATTAGATGCTGATATTTGGTTGATTTTAGGTTGGACGTTGGACATTGACATCGACTTGATGTTGAGTTCTGATGTCAACTCGATTTACATTTACAAACAAAATGCAACGTCCCCACGACGTTGGGGTACAACGTCAATCTGACGTCATGTTGATGTCCTGTGCCTGCTGGGTGTTTAAGGCCATTTCGGTCATCATACAGTAAACATACATCATCTTCTCATCAGTAAAATGCATCTAAACAGTATCTGGGTCAAAATGTGTAAAAATTTTGGACATCTTCTTGGACACGTTAAATGCTGCAATTTTAAATCACCCGTGTCTTGAGGAAGTTCATTATGATGCAATTTACCTTCTGTGTGCGAATTGATTGGACAGGATTCACAGGACTGATTTTTCTAATCCCCATAGACAAGAAAAAATAAAGTAGTGACAGCACGTTGAAAAAAAGTAATGGAGTAAAAGTACTAATACATCACTTAAAGTGTACTCAAGGGAAAGTAAAAGTACACATTTTTACAACTACTTAGTAAATTACAATTATTTGTAAGTTATTACTTTACACTGTAACAACACAAACTATGTTTTAAAACACTTTACACTACAGGGCTCGAAATTGCGACCATTTTGGTCGCATATGCGCCTGAAAATTAATCTATGCGACCTCATAATATATCTGGGCGCATTAGTGCGACTGCAGATAATGTTTGTAGTGCGACCTGTTTTGGTTTTTTCTAAAAACGTGCTGAATCGCTCTTCCCTGCCGCTATATTGGTTCATATTAGCTGTCACTCACTTAAGGTATTCCGCTGTCAGATGACAGGGAAGGAGCTTTTATGACCACGGGAAATACAACCGGCTGAATAGTAAAAACTTAAAGCACACAGGTTTGCAAACCCCACCTAAAGTTGAGGCGCAGATGAAAGCGATCATGACACGTCACGTGGTGAATAATGATCCGCCAGCTGAGATCAATCGAGTACGCGCTTCTTGGAGAAGGTGCCCGAATCTCCATGCGTTGCATTCACTGCGTCTTCAGCGCAAATGTCCGCTAAAAGTCAAATCTAATACTGTACAAATAATCGCCAAAGAAGCTCGCCTTTACTAAGTTTACACTGAAACTGCGGCTCATAACAAAGACCGGTATTGCGCCGATGGTTAGCGCAAGAATCCTGCTCTGCCTGCTCATAAATTGGGTCGACTGACTCGCCTGCTTTTCCACTAACACAGAAAAATGAAGATCAGCTCAGACTGAACCTTTAAATTGACACAAACTGAAACCAAAACTTTTAAAGAGTGATAGAAGTGAGACTTTACTTACTTTCTTTTGTCTATTTGCTTGTCTGTTTGAGGTGTATATTATTTTTTTATTTATTTACTGATGACTGCTTTGCAGCTTTCATCATTGAATTGAATGATTTATTGTAATCTTTTGTTTGTTTTGTAGCAGAAATATTATTTATTAAATTGACATGCATATAAAAACAGCAGCACAAAATAAATATTTCTTACTGCAATGCTTCATTTTTGTTTGATGCAAACTATACAATTATTTTTCATAAAGTAACAGACTTTTTATAGCAGATAACCTACATTCAAGCACATTCAAATCAGTATCAAAATGAGAAATGGAATTCATTGTTACTATTATTGTCATTTTTTATCATCATTAATATTCTATGGCCTAATTATTAGACATTCATTTTGGAATTATTGCACACAAATATCAATGTCTTCACAGGATAAGTTAGATAGCTGTTTCTGGTTTTTGTCAGTCCTATTAATGTTGTTTTAAAGTACAATAAATCAAAATAAAAATAAAAAAATAAAATAAAAAATCAATTTTTTCTGGTGCTCCTAAAAAAATTTTTGTGCTCCTAAATATTTGAAGTTGGGAGCACCGGTGCTACCAAGTAAAAAAGTTAATTTCGAGCCCTGCACTATATATGTAAGAACAGTGCATGCAACTCATACTTCTAAATCAGCAAAAGGTTTTTTTTTAATGTTATCAGCTAAAGATAAAAACCCTGCTGAACTGCCTTCAAATGGTGTGATACAATTTGAGATACCTATGTGTTGAAGGAGAGCCTGAGCGAGACAAAGGCAGGTCTGGTGTTCCCAGCAGTGAGCTGTGTCAGTCTGTCTGTGTGGTTTGCTCAAGTACTACTACGCTCATTAATTAGCTCCTTAGGGAGGCTGGCTGGCTAACGGGAATGGGGGAGGAGGCGAGAGGCGGGATGCAGGGGCTTCTGAGGGCTTGATTGAGGGGGAGAAGGGTGGAGGACAGACATGGGCCCATTATCTGACTTGTCTGCGGTTGAGGGTGCCTGGCATGAGGTGACGTGCACAGGGCCGCGAGCGTTGTACTACAAGTACGGTCAGTCTCTCTGCAATGAGTCTAGAGCTGCGATCATTCCCTCCCTTGCTAGACAGCTACATCTGTCTATCAGACTCAGACTCATCGTTAAAGCTGCCGGACGTTGATTTCACACTAACACTCCTATGTATTTGTGTGTTGGAAACTTCACTCCAGACATGTCCTTCAGTCTTTGAGAGTAGATGCGGAGTGTTTGTGTGTGTGGTCATGTGTTTACCTTGGACAGATCTCTGTAGTTGCTGGGCAGGGTGAGGTCGAGCTCTTCGCTGTCGTAGTTGGTGATTACCCAGGGGAACACAGGATACTGGTTCAGATCGTTAAATGTACGGCCTGAAACACAAGCAGAGTCAGGAATTCAAACACACATTTTATGTTGCCTTGGTATATTTTTGGCAATGGATAAAAAATACATTGTGTGGGTCAAATTATTGAGTTTCTTTTATGTCCAAAAATCATTAGAATATTTAATAAAGTTCAGTGAAAATATTGTGTATATATCCTACTCTAAATATATCAAAACGCATTAATGTGCATTGCTAAGAAATTCATTCAGACGTTTTCTCAGTATTTTTGTTTTTATTTTTGAACCCTCAGATTTCAGATTTTCAAATAGATGCATATTGGTCAAACAATGTTCTATTCTAACAAAGTATACACCAATTAAAAGCTTATTAAAAATACATTTATGACTGTTTTTGTGAATCACTAGTCACTATTTTCACAAGGCCACATACACATTTTTACTACTAAAATTCCATGACTTTTCCAAATTTTTTAGGTCAATATTCATGATCTTGTTTCGTGTTTCATTAAATGTCTAGGTACACATGGTAAATAAGAAAAAATGCATGTTACAGAATATAAAAAAATATGTTTATTTTTATATCTGTAAAATAGTTTTTAGAAAGTTGTTGTCTGTGTGAAAATTTTTGAAACGTTGGCTTGTGTTTTTACAAGACTTATAAGATTAGTACAAATCACCCTCAGTATCTTACTGTACCTCTGAGGTTAGATAATGTTTCTTAAAACACATCTTGACATGTGTCACTTTGTTGCAGACATGCTTATGGTTAACTTCCGACAAAGTAGAACAAAGAAGCAGCTTGAAGTGGAAAGCACAATTATGTCTGCATTTTGGAGGTACCATAAAGTTGAGGACGACAACATTGCCGTAGCAAACTGTGAGATAAGTAAACTTGGGATTGCCTGCCAGGTATTTTAAGTATAAGTGCTTTTTATTTTTATATATATTTTTTTTATATATTTGCTGTTGCACTACAGTCCAAAAGTGAATAATTTATGCTATTTATTGCTTAATTGTTCAAGCTACCTCACAGATGTGCTCTGTTTGTTAACAGAGTTGTTGAATGTTAAAATAGGGTCAATTAAATCAAAAATAAGAAACATCCTGGATCTTCACTCTTCTTTATTCTTTTTTATGTATTATAGAAGAATTTGATCAGGTTTTGGTATCGGTAGATACTTAAAATCAAATGATTCTGACTCGAAGGCTAAAGAACCTGATCGGGACATCCCTAGTCTCATTACTGGAAGCATAAGGCAACTAATACTTTTAATGAAAAAATAAAAGCTAAAATGTTTAGCTAGTCATATATGCATAAAAACTTTCCTAAACTTAGAAATAGCATTTGTTCTTAGCTGTATTATAATTAGTACATTCAGCTTGTTTGCTGTTTGGAGAACATCAGTTAGCGTTTGGATATGACAGTTTGTTTGTTTGTTTGTTTGTTTTTTTTTGTTTTTTACCAGAGATGGTGTTAAGGAACATGAGGTATTCAAAATTTGAGATTTCTCGTCTTTGCCAGCGCTGTGTCATGTTGGAGGCCTTGTAGAGCTGTTTCGGGCTGGCCAGAGAAATCCGTCTGTGGGAAAAAGATAAATCACATTAACAACTTCAAAGAGCAACTAAAAATGTATACATCTGTGCTGCTCAGTTCATTTAAAATATAACATGCAAATACAAATATAAGAAATAAAACTAAAGCATTAGTGTATTTCATAAGATGGAAATAAAAAATATATAAACACATGGCACAAGTAGTGGAAAATCTTTACAAGATATTTCTGCACACCACAAATTGTAGCAAGATAAGAATAGGCTCATCTAACAGATGTTGAAGAGAATGTGCTGATCATTTAGGGAACCTAAATGCTGCTTTCAAGAGCTCCAGAATTGTATTATTATGTTAAATGTCTTTTTGTAAGCAGCAGCGGTCACTGCTTTCACTATAATTATTCTTTGAACAGATTATTAACAGGCCTAACATTAATGTGATCCTTTCATTATCACACACAGTATGTTTTTCACCTGCTTTCTTTTGCTTTTAGTAATTTTTGTAAATATGGTTTAATTGTATTGTTTTACAATAAGATTGCTTTGATAGGAGATTAGTTAACTAGTGATCTAAGACCTTTAGCCAGGACAAAGACTATGCACAATTATAGATACATGACAAAAAAAATGTTTAAATGTCAATTTTATTTTTAAAGAAATGTTTTGTTGAATAAAACAAGTATGCATACATCTACATTTAGCTTGTTTTGACACATTATTTAAAATGTATTGCTAAGAAATAATTATTTAGTTTTGGTGTGGTCAGAAGTAAATTTGGTAAATCCTTAATTTTGAGCCCTAAAAAATTCATGTAAAAAAAAAAAAAAAAAAAAAAACGAATTGCAGAGCGACACTCTGAACCCACAATCCATTTACTCATGTACATTGAGCAAGGTCATACACAACACACACAAAAGTAAAGTGCATGTGGAAATCACACAAAATCTAAATCAAGTAGTTTTTGCATGTCAAAGTCAAATTTATGCATATAAAATTACTTTTCCTAACAACAAAATTGTGGCTTGTGAAAATGGCAAGTGGCTAGTAACGCTGGAAAACTACTAGCCAAAGAGGCTGGTGATCAAAAAAGTTAATGTCAAGCCCTGTTGAGATGATATCTATAAGGTACTTGGAGACAGGTTTTGTATTGATATCCCCTTTGATCCAACTGTGTCAGTCCTAGATATGGTGCCTGAGAGCATGGGGGAAAGAAGAATTACTTATTTATTTAAAATATTGCTTTCTGCAGCAATAATGTGTTACGTCTAACTGGCTCAGAACAGACCACCTACAGTATCATTGTGGTTTCATTGTGTTTTATTGCAATTAGTTTTTATTTCACATGACTTTTCACAACTCAAAGTTAAGGTTTTATCTAATTTATTTCTGACCACACCGAACAACAAATATTTCTTAGCCATAAATTTTGTGTCAAAACAAGCTAAATAACTGTATACTGAACTTAATATTTGACAAAACATTTCTTAAAAAAAAAAAAAAAAAGGGGAAAAACGATTAACTTTTTAAAAATAATTATTGTCATGTATTAAAAATATGCACAGTAATCTGTCCTGGCTAAAGATCTCACAGATCACCAGTTAACTACACATAAATGAAGAGGTAACATCATATTAAAGCTATGTTATTGTATGAAAAAAAAGATAATTAAACCATATTAACAAAAATAACCATAAGCAAACGAAAGCAGGTGACAAACATACTGTGTGTTATAATTAAAGGATGATTACACATACACGGTTAAGGCCAATTAGAGGGGGACGGGGCACAAAGTAACACTATTTGGTTTTGGTTCAATAATGAACAAAGTAATGGGGTTAGACAAACCATATTTTTACCAATAACATACAAGCCTCACCTACAAATGAGCACTGAAATTATGATCGCCGGACCTATTGGTTTCTGTGCAGTACTGCCAATAGTGCCAGAAGTTAAAATGTCACTATTTACCCCACCTGCGGGGCAAGTTATAACTGACAGAGGGTTAGTTGTAACACATGCTTATTAAGGCAGATTTCACACAATTAATTTAAATTCAATTTACTTTAAATAGTAGCTTTATTTCCTCAGTCATTTGCTCAATTTATTTTTTATTCTACATAGCACAATATGTTTATTTATTTGTTTGTTTGTTTACTGGATAAACACATTTGAATCTATTTACATTATTATCCATTTATCCATTATTATACAATGCATTTATTTGCATTATTGGCAAAAAAAATCTATTTAAAAAAACATTTTAATATAAAAAGTTCTCAACATTACACTCAAATAAAAAAAAATTGTTTGTTTAATTGGTGTCCAGCAGTGTGTGGCTTAATTGTAACGCCCTGTTACAACTAACTCCGCTGTGTCATGTTTTGCTCAAAACAGTCACTGTGTGTATTTTACATCTTTCAAAATGGTTCCATGTTTTAGTCGAGAAGACTATACGTACATATATAACAGATTTTTTTTTATTAAAACATTTTTGACTATAACAAAAAATAATTTTATGCTACAAAAAAATGATTTCTCCTGTGTTTCTCATCTAAATTTCACCAAACCTTTTCAATAATTGGCAGGAAGACGTCTGGTGACTGTGGTGAAAACATTGGAAGCATTCCATGGTTAACCCTGAGCAAATGCCTTAAAACTGCATGTTACATTTAACCCCGTGTTCTTTGTGCCCCGCGCTCCCCTAATAATCTGTTCAAAGTGAAAGCAACGGTTGCTGCTTACAAAATGACGAATTTGGAGCTCTTGAAAGCAGCAAGAGTGTGGGTGCATTAGCATAACTTTTTGTCTAGTTTATTTGAAAGAGAACCTATCACAGTTGCCTTCCGCTTCCTTGCAATTGTGCCTGGGAGCGCGCACACGCTTTAAACAGTCGCGCACATCTCATCAGCTGTTAGCGCGAATGATCATCCTCTCATTGGGTATTCACCTGCTTTCTTTTGCTGGCGTGAAGACAATTATTTTTGTTAGTCGCGCTGTTTCTCGACATGTACATGTATAACATGTATATCTTAATGCTTTGTTGATGTATTGCATCAATACAGAACATTTTACACCATTTGGCTGGCATAACAATTCCCAACACTGCCACAAAGCTCTCATTTTTGTGACTAATCCCAACCTTTACATAAAAAAACCCCAAAGCTGTGTTTATACAAGCACCAACTGCTTACTATACAACATTTACAGAATACATTCTATATTTGTATAAATAAGACATTCACTTTAATAAAAAAATATTCAATATCTGCAGAGCAAACACAGACAAATGCAGTGATGCAAACTGTAAAATACCACTAGGCCAAGCAGGCTTAAGAACAAGAACTAACATTTCAATAATTCCG